TCTCAGCCACAGCGGGAGGTAGTAAATGTCGTGGTAATAGCACTCGCTGTTAATTTTTGTTAGGCCAGTATTGGTGTAGCTAAGATGTCTCCAGAGAGGTGTTTTCCAGAAATACCTGTCAAGTTCGGGCCTCGCTTGCCATCAGTTTCCTATTTCCTACACCCCTGTTCTGATTCATTACTCCATTGGTTGTGTTACGGATTCACATGCATTCTTATTCAGTTTCTATGTTGCATGCAACTTTGTTCTTTTCCACTGCTATCATCTCTGCTGGGAACTGGGGTGGGGAGTGGATGTGTTTGGCTGTCTGCTTTGCTGGATTAGTGTCAGCTTGTAACAGTTCTCACGCACAGGCCTCCCGAGTTGTGTTGATAGCACCTTGGGATGTATATGATCTCATCATTCTGTGTGACCTTGTAGTGGGGAGCTTTTAGATAATGGAACCGTTAGCATGCCGGTGGTGGGGCGGTCATAATGGCAGGGGCAGACATGTGGCGGGCTGAATGGGAGCAGTGATTGGTTGCTTGGCATCCGTGAAATTTCTTGCTTTCAGTATATTGGCGGAACTGGTGTTTGGGCCCCAGTTCCGACACAGAAGCTGTCTATGCTTGGAACCTCTCTACCTCTTAATAAACAAATCTTGCTGATACAAGAGTGATTGCAGCCAGGACTTGACATAGTGTCGTCACGAAACATGATTATGGCAACTGGCTCCTTTGTCCCGTCCTGTTCCCTACCTGGCAGACGATTGCCAGCACAATTTTTTGTGGATTGTTGGCCACTTTGTCAGGTGAATGAAGCGGATCTTGTGTGTTTGTTCGGGGGGAGGTGCACCTCATGCATCTGATGAAACGGGGCTGCTGTTCCACGAAACCTGCTGCTTAAGTAAAAACATTTTAGTCTCGAAGGCTTCACAAAACTCCAATTTCTTTCCAGAAGGATAACTGTTGCTGGATAGCTGGATAGCCAGCTTTTTTATATATATAAATTTTATTTTGAAATTTTTGAGGGTTTACAGAATAAAAAAGGGGTAAGGGGAAAGAATAAAAGGTAAAATTACCAAGACATAGTATAAAGGTCATTTTTTGCAAATATAAAGGACAATCCTTGGCTAGTATTTGGAAGGGCGGCCTCCAAGGAATACCAGGGTTGTGACACAGAGGCAGGCAATGGCAAACCACCTCTGAAATCCCTCTTGCCTAAAAAAAAACAAGTCTAGCTCACCACCTAGTGGTGCATACTAAAGAGCTAGAACTTCTGGCTGCCAGACAATTTTAGGATCTCTGACAATCTCTGGGCACTTCGATCCCAGTCTGAAGGTGGGAGGGGAGGGCTGCAGAGAAAGGAGTCAGGATGCAGAGGTACGGCTCAAAATGTAAACAACTTGTGTAGAGCAGCAGGGGAATGCTTGGGGACAGAAAATCAGCTTCCACAGTGAGATAAAAGTCCTGTGTCCCTATTCAGCTTGGGCAGGCGGGGGTGGTGGTCCGTCGTTCTGAATGTGTCCCTCTGCCGTCTTGAGTCCCTTCTTTGCAACAATCCTCCCGCCTTCCGACTTGGGATATAAGGGCTCAGGGATCTCCGTTCCAACTTGGGTCTGACGAAGGGGACTTTGACGCTCAAACGTTTGCACCCCCGGAAGTAATGAGATCCGAATCCCGTGTCCCTATTCAGCTCTGCAGAGTCCGTGGTTCTGAACGTATGAATGAAGTCCAATCTAGGCAGGGCTCCCCTTGCCTCCCCCCAAAGCGGTGTCGGAACCCTCCAGAGGGAAATGAAGTTTTCAGTCCACACTAGAACTCCGTACTTAGTTAATATCTCTAAACACGTACTTAGAGTGTCCTTAGAGCCAGCTCAGAAGTACAAGCTGGGTTTCGAAGAG